TGCAGATTTAAGGCCTGCATCACCTCCCAGCAGTGTCTGCACAAAAGCAGGTTCAGCTTCCTCAGTGAGGTTTCCTACTCAGTCACAGAATAAAGGGGCCATTGACGGTGTCCAGGACATACCAGAAACACACAACCTCAAACTGCCTTCTTCATCACCTACAAAACCCAACATGGCCAGAAAGCCTGCTAATGTCTCACTACCAGCAATATTACGCAAGCTTTTTCTGCCATATTTTCCAAAGAAGAAGTCACAGGGAATAAAGGAAAAACCAAAGTGCCAGAAGCCAGAGAAAAGGCAAGCATGGCAAGATGTTTCACCAGTAAGGAGCACAGGAAAAATTGTTCGGTGTAAAAACAGAGTACACCCAGTGGCAGGAAGTACAGATGGGGCCATTAGAACTGAGTTTAGCAGAGGAGGTTCTGTGGTGGAGAGCACAAAAAATGTATGCCCGACACCTATTACAGTACAGCCAGTGGCAGGAAGTACACATGGGGGCGTTAAAAAAGAGCTTAGCAGAGGTTCTGTGGCAGACAGCATAAGCAGTTTACACATTAGCTCTTCTATTCACACTTGCCCGCATTTAGCACATACTGTTCAAATAATAAGATATGAGCACTTTATGGTAAAACGTCAATCACCTCAACCTTAGGAGACAGCGCTTTTTCAAGTTGTCGTTATATTATAATAAAAAAAAAAAGATAACTGCTAATTACAAGTACACAAGTCATGCAGCATTGTGGGTGTATCCACAACCCAGTAGGGTTGAACAGGCATCTGTAATTCTGTGGGTATCCATGCCCAGAAGGGTTCAGCGGGCATTTGTAATTATGTAGGTATCCAAGACCAGGGCAGCACAGCGGCGCGGTGGGTAGCACTGTCGCCTCACAGTAAGAAGGTTTCCGGTTCGACACGATGCCTTTCTGTGTGGAGTTTGCATGTTCTCCCTGTGCCTGCGTGGGTTTTCTCCGGGCGCTCCGGTTTCCTCCCACAGTCCAAAGACATGTAGTTTAGGTTGATTGGAGAGTCTAAATTGCCCCCAGGAGTGGTTGTGTATTGTATGATATGCTAGCTAGAATTTCCTCTTACATGTTAGGATAAGACCCTAAAACCTCCCATATAACAACAACCTGTCTCTTTCTACCTTCAGATGTTATTTCTAACCAATAAAAGCTGTGATACTGGCCACTTAAGACCATGTTTGCTTTGCTTTGGTGTGTGTGTATACTTAAATATAAAAATCCACTTAAACCCACATTCATAAATAAGTCAGTTTTGTATAGACCTGGTTGGAGGCCAGGATGCACTATGTGACAGGTTCTTCATAAGGAGCAGTCTCTCCACATCCAGTCAGGACTCGAGGTAGAAGGTCTTTCCCCTCCAGAGCCAAAAGGAGGTCCTTCTCGTGGATCAGAGTGGGCTGGTCATGGACCCAGGTCTGCAACCTCTTGAGGAAATGATTTCACACAGCAGAACAAACAGTTTATACTACCACTCAAAATTCATCTTAATTTTTGACACAAAGGATCTTTCATGTCACACAAAAGTAGGCTTCTGATGATTTTACTGGCTGACTTATCTGTTGCTATCAGAGTTTTTGCATCAGCCAAAA